CGAATCATCACAAGAGCAGACTCCATGCTCTTCACAACGGCGATGCGGAAGCTATGGCACAGCAAAGGAATGGCAACCGCACGGCAATGGCAATGGAAAAGCAATAACGCTATAGCAACGGAAGTGACGAAAATCGCATGCGACGGACGCGGCGAGCATTCCTTTTTCTGCGCATGTGCAAGAACTTCTTTGCCAGGTCGGGGTAGGGATCTTCGCACTTGTGTGTGAACAGGAGATACAGTTCCCAGGAGCGTATCCATCGCGGTTTCGCCAATTCCGCAATGATGATAGTTGTGTCTGAAAGCCATTTCCGTCATGTGGGGTCTATACCGGAATGGTTCTGGATTGATTCCATAACACTCTTTTGCCGCTTTTCTGCCGCTTTGAGACCCTAGTGTGAAAACGTTCTTGGATTCTGCATAGGGAAAAGGGTGGGATGTAAATAAAACAGAACAGAATAGAATAGAATAGAATAGAGGCACCAACATGTTCTCATGACTCTCTCTCTAGCTCTCTGTGCACATATATGTACATGCACACATATGCATGCATGTTAGATCACATAAAACTGATGTCAATCCACATCTGTTCAAGGGTACCTGTTCAGGTCATCTCACACTGTTTGAAAGCAGCTACACCTAACAGTACAGCCTGGCTTTCTGCAGAATCTTGATGACACACCCTTGTATTCCAGAATCTTACAACCAGCATGTAGGAATAAGCTGCTTGTGTTGTGCAATCAGGTCTTCTTGTGATTGTCAGAACCTGCTCCAAGTGATTTAAATAGTTGCATGGATAAGTTCACAGTCACACCATAACAACAAATAGTAGTCTTTTTCCAACCTGGTGCTGAAACCCTTCATGTCTCTCATTCCAGGCTCATTCTTACCTCTCTGTATGCTTCAACTGTTCCTGTTTGCCAGAGGTAGCAATAGTGAAAATTTTGTACCTGGAAATGATAGTCTCTATTTTAAGCCTACCTAAATGCCCAAAAGCACCAGATCCTGCAATGCAGTATTTATTGCACTGGCAAAAGCCTTAGTTTCATAAAGTATGACATTCCAGTTTTCTTGAATAAAACTTGTTAACTGACAAGCTTTCAATGTTTTTGATTTCAGCATCACTGGTAGTACTTTGAGCTTGCAGGATTTTATTCCTGTAGTCTATTGATACTAACACCTTTAACAGGACTGCTGCTATGATTATTTATTTATTTGCTGTATTTATACCATGTATGGATGTGAGAGCTGGGCAGTTAAGAAAGATGATAGGAAAAAAAATCAATGTATTTGAGATAATGTGGTGCTGGAGAAGAGTGCTAAGGGTCCCATGGACAGCCAAAAGGACAAACAAATGGGTCCTAGAGCAGATCAAGCTGGAAACCTCCCTGGAAGCCAAGATGACCAAACTGAGGCTGTCGTACTTTGGACATATCATGAGAAGAGAGGACTCATAGGAAATGACAATAATGCTGGGGAAGGTGGAGGGATGTAGGAAAAGAGAAAGGCACATGCTAGATGAATGGACTCTATGAAGGAGGTCACAGGTATTAAAGGGTTGCAGGAATTGAGCAGAGCAGTGGAGTACAGAGGGTCTTGGAGATGTCTCACCCATAGGGCCGCCATCAGTCGAGATTGACTCAAGGGCAGTTAACAACAACAAAATTTATGACACTTCAGAAATGTTCTCATAGTGGCTTACAAATAGTTAGTTAGAATCTAAAAAGACATGACACAAAAGGAGAAGGGAATGGCAGTGGGGAAGGAGATTAAGTCCAGCAGGTTCTTCTCTAGCTGTGAGTCTAGGGCAGTGGCAGTTGACATGGAGGGAGGGCCATTCATCTGTCTCTGGGCTAGGCATGGGGATTGCATGATTACATAGGCCTCCATAATAGAGGTTCATATTTTTTTAAAAAAAAATATGCTGGTTTTATTGAAGTTTGATGTCCTAAATACAGAAAAAGACCTCAGATTTGGTCCATCATGTGCACTTTGTTCATAACTTGTTTTGACATTTCTCAGCGATGCTAAAGTGAAGAAAATTGAAAACTTGTTAGTTTTCACTAGTCAGCTGACTTAGGGCCTCTGCAGATCATCCCAAAAGGCTGGCCTGGAGGTAAAGTTGGGGTGGGGCAGCTGCATGCCAGCTGCCCCTACCCCACAGCAATGCCGTCTTGATGCCACGTGCTGTTATGCATGGTGTGTGGCATCAGGACACCCTTCCGGCGCAGCATTCAAACACAATGCACCGAAAGCATAGGACTATGATTTTGGAGATCAGGGTATGAATCCCTGCTTGGCTGTGGAAACCCACTGGGTGACCATAGGTAAGTCACACTTTCCTAGCCTCAGAGGAAGGCACTGGCAAAACCCCTGTAAACAAATCTTGCCAAGAAAACCCTGCAATAGGCTTGCCTTAGGGTCACCATAAGTCAGAAGCAACTTGAAGGCATACAACAACAACAACAACAACAGGATAAGGCAGCAGGTGAAGAGCAATGGTGGTGGTGATGGTGGTGCTAAATATTGTACACTCCAAGGATGTAAGAGCATTTGTTTTTGTTGTTGCTGTTAACTGCTCTCAAGTCAAACCCAACTAACGATGGTTCTGTGAATGAGACACCTCCAAGCCCCCCTATCCTCCACCGCTCTGATTAATTTCTGAAAATCCAAGCCCAAGACCTCCCTAATTAAGTGTAGCCATCTTGTGTGCAGTCTTCCTCGCTTTCTACTACTTTCTACCTTTCCTAGCATTATTGTCTTTTCAAGTGAGTCATGCCTTCTCATAATGTGGCCAAAGTATGACAGCCTCAATTTGATCATCTTGGCTTTCAAGGATCATGCTTGATCTGTTCCAGGACCCATTTGTTTGTCTTTTTGCCATCCACAATATCCTTAGCATTCCTCAATAGAATCAACGGAAGAATAGTGTCTAGATCAAGGGAAGTAATAGTGCCACTGTATTCTGCTTTGGTCAGGCCCAACTTGGAATACTGTGTCCAGTTCTAGGCACCACAATACAAAAAGGATGTTGAAAAGCTGAAGCGTGTCCAAAGGAGGGCAAATGGTGAAGGATCTGGAAACCATGCCCTATGAGGAATGACTTAGGGAACTGGGTATGTTTAGCCTGGAGAACAAACACCTAAGAGGGGATATGATAGCTCTGTTTAAATATTTGAAGGGATGTCATGTTGAGGAGGGCGCTAGCTTGTTTTCTGCTGCTCCAGAGAATAGGATTTGGAACAAGCTACAGGAAAAGAGATTCCACCTCAGCATTAGGAGGAACTTCCTGACAGTGAGAGCTGTTCAACAGTGGAACACACTCCGTCAGAGTGTGATGGAGTCTCCTTCTTTGGAGGTCTTTAAACAGAGGCTGGATGTCCATCTATTGGGTATGCTTTGATTTTGAGTTCCTGCATGGCAGAGGGGTTGGACTTGATGGCCCTTGTGGTCTCTTCCAACTCTTTGATTCTATGATTCTATTCTTTTCCAGCACCACATCTCAAATGAGTTGATACACTTCCTAAAGGCAAATTGTCTTCTGTTCTTCCAGCGAGGTAGAGGTTTAAAACCTTCCACAACTGCCACTGTTAAGAATATCACCTGTCTCCATAGTCTGAGATTTTTGAGAGCTTTGAGCAATCCTCTTTTGTAAGGTGGTGTTTTCCTGCCTCTTCAAGAAAGGCAAATACAACTCTTTACTTAGGGCTTAAAACAACATTGAAAGCCCATTACAAGAGAAGCTCTAACTTTGTTAGTTTAAGCAGTCTCTGTCTTTCACATAAACAAATGGCTTTATTTTCCAGGATTACTAGTCCACACTTGCCAACCCTCCTGTTCCTGCAGAAGGGCTTTTTGTGTTAGGGACTCCCTCCAAGCCTTTATACTTTGGCAGTGCTTTTGTTTTTCTTGGAACCTTTTAAGGCCTCGGCAAGAGAAATGAATCAGACATTTAGACTTCAAATGAATGAATGTGTATATATATATATACACACACACAGCTGGCGTATCAAACTGATTTTTTTCTTAAAGTCAGCTCAGTAGCCCCCTAAGCCATTCATGCAAGCAGTTATTGTCTCACTTTAGTGAAACTTTAAGCTGAATCCAGCAATTCTGCTCTTTCCGAGGCCCAGGAGACATGAAATCACAAATGCACAGAGGCAGTGCTATGTGGCAAGCTGTTCTGACAAAGGGCCCACCACAGTGTTTCAACACTTTTAACCATGCTCTTTTGATGCTTCTTTTTAGAATATTTGTGTTTGTGATGATGTGGCTCCAGTCACTGGAATCGTGCTCTATGTAGCCAGCCTGAAATAATTTTTTAATGTAGGAGAGGGAGGAAATTAATTCTAAGATTTCCAAAAATAAATTGCAGCCCACTACAAATTATACGATGCTTGTGCACATATCTTCACAAAATTATAATGTTATAAGGGGGAAATAGAGTCAGTGTGGTATAGTGGTTTGAGTGTTGGACTACAACTCTGGAGACCAGAGTTTGAACCCCTGTTCAGCCATAGAAACCCTCTGGGTGTCCTCAGGCAAGCTACACTTTCTCATCCTCAGAGGAATGCAAAGGCAACCCCCCTCTAAACAAATCTTGCTAAAAAAACCAAACCCATGATAGATAAGGTCAGCATAAATGAGAAATGACTTTAAGGCAGAAAACAACAACAAAGGAAAAAGTGGTATAGAGCAAAATTGGAGAAAGACAAAAGAATATTCCTCAAAACAGGTGCGGAATTAGTACGCATGTAGAGCCCTTTCTCACACTGGCCAAACACATGTGGTAGCAAGGGGCAGATATTATTTTAATATGGATGTGTGTGTGGGAGTCTTGTGAAACTTGTACAGTTTTCCCCTACATGTAAGAGTGATGTCTATTTTCAGTTTTTGTTCTGGAAAAGCATGACTAAAGTCAACAATAATTTTGAAAATGAAGGCATCGCCATTTGTAGAACATTTCTAGAACTGCCATATCTACTAGGTAGTGGCGAACAATGCCTGGCGTGTGGCTTTCATGTAACCCTGCAGCCCTCTAGTATTGCTCTTTGTGACTTCCCAGTTTCTGCAGAATTGATGGCTATAGTTGTCATTATCGTCTGGATTGCCATAATCACAGAAGATTCCTCCCTTTTCTTCTCTTTTTTTCACTTCAGAAAAGAAAGTAGGTACCCCCCTTGCAGTCTTGTGGACTGAATTCATTAACTTTAAACATATAGCACTTTCAATACCTTTACATTTGATGGCATTTAAACTCATTGCACAAGGGAACCATGTGAAAATTAGAAAGTTTTGTTTTAAAAGTCATTTTTTTCTTCCAGCCTTATTTTATCCCCTGTTTCTGTCACTAAACAGGCAGTGCCTGCAAGGCGTTGCACTTAACTTGTGACCTGTTTTGTAACTTGAGTAAGGTGTTACTGAGCCGTGTTTTGTAACTTGAGTAAGGTGTTACTGAACTGTTTTGTAACTTGAGTAAAGTGTTTATCACA